CGGTTACTATTTGCGGCTGGGCCTAGGGCAGAAAAAGGTCAGTGTGGCGACAAGATTCTGTCACCGAAGCCAATGTCTAGCTTAATGGCGGCAGCAACAGAAGAGACTGGATCCAGTCCCGGTTTGCTTTCGGCGTGTGTTGCCACCTCCTAGGCAAATCAGCCAATCAACGGCCGCCAACACTAGTCCACTGCCTCGCCTCTCCCCTCTACTCCGATCCCCTCAGGCGTCTATGCTCTGTTGCATAAAGGTCTGTTCGTTCAAATAGGCAGCTTCCCTTCCTTTGCAGTCATTCCCTTCGGTAGGAGGGAAAATAGAACCAGAGCCAACAAGGTGTGTCTCAGTTTAAAACCCAAATCTGTTGCTGGCGTAGTCCAGCCAGGCACGAGGCTGTCTTTTGTTCAATCAACGTGGCGCACTACGCGGAGGCGGTGGAAGCGAGCCGGCAGAGCGATTAAGAGAGCTGTCAAGCGAGCAAATAAGCGAGGAAGAGAGAAAGAAAGATATTATGGGGGATTGACCAATCAAAAAAGAGCCATCAGCTTAACTGCTCTCAGACTCTGCCGCAACAGCCTGTTTGGCTGGCGATTCGGGCTTGTAGGTGAGGCGTGTTTGCCGCTGGGAGGGCGGATTAACCAATCGCTCGACTAGACGTAGTGGTCGAGCCAGTGGCGATCGTAAGAATTTACTGCGGCGCCTGAAACTTCTGCTTAATGCCTAGGTCGAGACATACTAAAGTCCAAACATGTGGCAACTACATACAGAATTAACGCCTAAGATATCTTAATCTGCCTGCTTCTGGTGGATCGGCCAAATGGGATGTCTGAGTGACGATTTTTAAACAGACCACACGGAGTTTGGATGGCCAAAGTTACCTCATGTCCTCTTTTTCTCTTTTCCTCTTTTCTCAAGCGGCATATATAAAAGTGGTGTGACCTAGTTTGCGCAATTTGCTCGTGTTGTCAAGACGACCTAGTTGGACGTACCTTGTCCGAAGTCTGCTGCTATGGTAGTAATGATAACTCCCAGCGATAGACCGTGAACTAGCTACATTCTTATACCTTTAGCCGGTTGTCAGTGGGTCTTGCCATTTTCAGCACCAAGCTGTGCCTCGTCAAAGAAACAAGTGAAGTCAGTCCCTTGATCAACTTTCTGTCGACCGGTTGTTCTATCACTCCTCTTTCTGCTCTAGCTTATATACCTACTCCTTCCCATCGTATCTCACTTCTGGCAGGTGTGATGGTGCTACCTTAAACTTGCCAAAAATGGCAAGTTAGAATTTATGATAGGACGGGAATTAGATTCGATGAGAGAGAGTAGGTTGATGTGCCTGTAAAGAAAGAGAAGGGATGAACAACTGGTCAACAGAAAGTTGGTGAAAGGATTGACTTAACTTATCTCTTACACGTTTTAGTGAGTTGCTAAGACTGTCAAGACTCACTGAAGATGTCGACTGCGCTGCCACCGAAACGTCTGGGAATGTAGCAAGACCAAGGTTTGACTCTTGTATATCATAACTAATATAGCAGAGGACTTCGGAAACGCTCCGTCCAAATAGGTAACGTGAACCACACGACCGAATTGCGAAAAACAAGGCCAAGCCACTTTTATACATTGAAAGATAACTTCGACCAAACTAGAGACCACAAAATCTTGGTCTTCGTATCTATTAACCGGCATGTAGATTGCAGGCCATTTGAGTTTCAACCACTTACGCTGCCAACCTGAAAGCAGGTTCTGAAACCGAAATCCCCTGAACTATAGGCATTTATGACGCCTTGGATGGGATTCGACATCAGATCATATTTATGGTGGTAAAAACCCTTACCAAAAGACAATCAGACTCTATCATCAGCAAATCATAGACGAATCTTCCTAAATTCAAACTTGTATAGCGAATTAACTGATAAACTAAGTACTTAGCTCTATATACATTTCAGTATTTGAGTAACGCAAAAAGCACAATACGAGACTTCTTTGGAAGCACAGCAGCGACTGACCACATTTTTTATTGGATTTGAATGAACATCATGTGTCTGAAGGTAAAGATTTCGGGCAAGCGGTTGTGTGACCCTATTGTCAACAAGTCAAAGACGGATCTCTCATAACTCAAAGCCGTATAAGGATTTACAGACAAAGCGAGCAGTTCTTTTTAATAATTTTTAAAAACTTATGAAACGAAAAATAAGTAGTGTAGTTGCTTGCCATAACAAAGAGTATCAGGGGTCAATCCCACCAGAAAACGATGGTGGATTCCTCTTGACCCTACGCCGATTTGCTTTCCTAAAACATTCTTGTTGATGCTGTTTCCCAGGCAATCTCCTTCAATTCAGATAAAATCTTAGCACTCTTTCATCGGAATCAAATCAATCGGGAGCAACGTCAACAAGAATGCTCCAATAAAGCCAATTAGCAACTAGTAAGAAGGAATCCGCCGTCACCTGGTGATATCAAAGTTAGAATCTATTGACGAAACACTTTCACTCGAAATGGAAATAAGCTCAAAAATTATTAACAAGGAGATTAATCAAAGCCTAACTTT